TTACATGACAGATTTACTGAGTTCACCAAGCTGCAAACATAATTAAGCTTTTCGCTATTTAGCCACCGCAAATCAATTTATTGACCAAATAAATGCCGATCATTCATTGAGTCGAAAGTATGACACATTTTTCATCAATGCTGAACGCTTCATCTTTTACCTCTACCTACTGAATTTCATTCCGTTACACCGTTCTCAATCGGTCGGCCAAGCAATCGCCAGAACTACTTTCGCTCTGCAAGAATCTTAGTCGCAAGTCATCAACTTTCTTCAGATCAAAAAAGGCCAGTGATTGTCTGCGATGATGAAATGGGAGCACCACTGTACGGCTAACTCAGGATTCCAAGGAAAACCACGTTCGAACACCATTCAGTGTGCATAGAAGACGACGGAACCTCAAGCTGTGGCAAAATCTACACAGAGCTCGACCAACTCTGAAACCAGATGACGAATACGAAGCAATGAGACAAATCGAAGAAGTGCTCAGCTCTGTAGGCGATATGATAACAAGCTATCTAATTGTCTAAGAAAGTCTCGAAGTCTTTCTTCGTTGATATTAATGATCAAAGGTTATTCTCCATAGGAGTTCACTCCACTTTTCACTATGGAAAGCTGGCAATATCAATAATATAGCATTATATCGACTATCGTTGGCCCTTATTCTGTAACGATTAAGTGTAGCAACGACTATAAAACAATCATAATGTATAGATGAAAACAATGGGATTTTTTCCGTTGAAGAGCAGAGAACAACAGAATCGAATCTGTGAAACTCTTGATGCAATCGACTGGTAACAATATGGGATAAATTACAAATGCAATCCTATTCATCGACGACAACTAATTTAATATGAAGTGTCTCCTTATCGAGTATAACTATAACTAGCGTCTGATTCATAATAAGATAGATTTCTGACGTAAATATCAGAATCGCAACATTGATGAACAGCGGGATTGCAGAAAAGAAAAGCGGATTAGAGAAAAGAAGAAGACATGCCATTTCATAATGCCCTGTCATCATCACTTAGAGGAGACTCTATACTGAATAGTCCAACTGATAAACATCTTTCAATTCGACTGATAAATTGTGGCTGGGCAAGAGTTCCTTTCTTCTGCGGTCTCGATATCCGTGCTAGAACATTCCCATGTCATAACCACTTCCAGGCTAGTGATTCTATTCCTCTCGAACTCCACTTCCCATTGATAAGCTAATATAAGGCTGCCCTGTACTTGATGGCAATGATACCGACTCCTCGGGAATGGATTGCCGGAGAAGAACAAAAGATTATCAACGGACAATCAGTATCAACAAACAACAACCGTCCTGTATAAAAGAGCACTGCCAAGTGAGGTTACGAGTGGGTTATGAGGCCATTCGGAAGGTACCTCACTGGATTCGACTCGGTGAGGTCACGATGACCTACAAAACCATAAGGAAAAACTGTGGACAATCGACACTATCAATCTGGCTCTGAAGAAGGCGAAGGTGTCGAAATGCTAGCCAAACGAAATTTTACTACCAACCTCGTGTTAGTTTATCAATGAAGGGATACATCTATTTGCAGTAATAATCGGCGGCGAAAGATAAACTTCCCACCGTATATCCCAGTTCTATTCTCAGAAAAACGCCACATTTACGATGAAGTGATAAACCACTATGGAATACATATGTGCTCTCGTGTTAATGCAACCTTCATGCATGAGGTGAACAGGTTCTTCGCAGGTTTTCCCTTAGGTTCGGCTGCAACTTAACGATCCGTCGTTTTATCTCTCGGATGGCGCCTTTTCCATTACATGCAGTACCGACCCATTGATGAACGAAAGGTGGTTTGCTTCTTTACGACTAGATTCCCTCCGATATAAGAGCGACCTATGCGATTAATCAACGGGTCGATCTACAAGGTTGACCATACAAAATAACTAAGTAGATCCGAAAAAACTATGGGGTGCCAAAATCACGGTTAAATCTTAGGAAAATTCAGTGGATGAGGTTTTGTCAAAAACACTCTCCTTTTACGACGTAAACAACAGCTCCGTGTAAATTACCATATTCTAACGCTATTCATTTCCCATTGGTCAGGCTTCTTTCCACCTTCTAACTCGTTACTTTTTTTAGATATTCACTATACATCCTGTCTTCTCCTACATACCCCTATGTAAATCTATCTACTACGGTACAAAACCAGGTGAAGTATTCAGTTTGATGTCGATCCTTGGTAAACTCTATAGGAGATTTGCTAACAAGCCTAGAGTTGGCTTAAAAATTCATTACTTCGAAGTTACTACCATAGTCGAATGATCCTCATAATGATGATGAAGGGTATAAAAAGAATAAAGCGTGTAGGGCAAAGTAAGGCAAGTGTAAAGGGCGCGTGTGGCGCAGTGGTCGAAAGTGTTGTGCAACACACACGCGAAATCGATCCCAGCGTCCATGACCCACCTAGCACTCCAACCCTCCGGGTCAGCAAATTATTACCAGAGCTGTCTGGGAGAATAGCACCACTGGCTCGATACATCGGTAGGCCACCGCGAGTTATTGTAAAGGCCAGATACGCATTCAATCACCTCCAAACAATGCTTAATGAAGTAAAATGCATTTGTAAAATGCATCCCTCAGGGATTGATCAACGCCGAGATGAAGGTTACAATAAACGAAGAACTAAGAATTAGGACAGACTAGACAAAATCCTCAACTTCCACACTTTATAAATCCATTTAAAATATAACTCTGAAAAAAGGCCTTCGTGGTAAGTGCCAATAAGAAAGGGATCATGGCAAAGGTTGTTTTCCATTTCTACTTCACTTCAACGATGCCATTCCTTCGCCATTATAAATCTTAAGTACCTCTCAATACCTTACCTATGTACTTTCACAGTATGGGCCCACTTCCATCTATTTCTCTATGTGGCTAGACTAGCTCTAGTTTTATTTCTGGTGAATTCCTCTCTGATTTATTTCCTAGTATTTCAACGTAATTGACCCCAACAATAAAATCCACGATTACGTTCAATGAACTCATAAGATATCGCTTATAGAATAGTTTTTCATTTTCATAACAAGAAACCTAATTTAATCATCAAGAACTAAGCAAACACCTTGACATGAAGCTTATCTTATGCGCACTGAAAAGAAAGGCAGAGAATACATCACTGAGCTCTTCGCGGCACCCGGTTTGTCATAGCGCACCTAAGTCAGCAAGCCAGCCAGCCTAAACCTCTTACGTCTGATCTCTGTTAATTTTAATACCGTAAGTGAGACTTCTGGAATTCGTTATTGTGCCTTTCTGTACTCTAACAGCGCTTTCAGGCTTACGCTATTCTGTATCTCAGGAGCCGACAGTTCCATCAAATTAATTTTTAGCGGCCAAAAAGACTCAACTCTGCAGGCTTAGAAAACGTTTTCGCATCTTATCTCCTTGAAACATGGCACACTGCTAATTTACCGTTGTTCGATACGCACTACGCTATTCCGATATGCAATAGCTGGTTAGATCGAGACGCTAGCGCTAATGAAACGCGAACCATCGAGGCGTTAAATCAAATTTATTCGTCTCTGTGATAAAGTTAACGCCTTGAGCAATGTGCCAATTCATTTAGGACAAATATACGGGGAGAATCACAGGCGATGCAGCAACGCAACTCAATGACAGAGGAGAAGGAAGAAGAGGGAGACATACAGAAGTGATTGCAGCCGTTGGTGAAACGGCAACGAATTTCGGTGAAATGACACAAAAGGGGCAGAAGCACTTCGTAATCCGACAGCGTACACAATGTATACAACAAGAAACACTCTTAAATATCAAAGCAGAATAACTGAAATAGAATTACTAGTAATGTCAGTACAATGTGCGTAGCAGGTAGTACTAGTTGTAGTAACGTACTAAAAGAGACAGCAAACACGCTATTCTCATTGCGAAAGCAGCATAATCAATGAGATTATGACAATGAGCTAAAAGTGAATAGAACATCTGTAAGGCGAAACGATTAAACTTCACAAGAAACGAAAAAGATAAGTGATACGAGTTTATATTATGAATATAAAATAACAACCTGCTAAAATATAAAAAACATGAAAGACTGTGAGACGGAAAACCCGAACGAGAAGATGGACTTTGCAAAAAATGTCTGAATCTCCTAGTCCACATCACCAATCCAGTGATCCATTGGTAAGTCGAACATCAGAAAATTCGTTCTAAATGAAATCACTGACTTTATAGATGATAGTTTCATACATAATTAAATGAAACAGGGAACTTTATTTTCCATTAATTACAGGTGCCATTGAGTTAGTCAACACTCAAGTAAAATTCTTACTTACCTGGACACATGGATAACCTGTCTTCAATAATTGTGCGTGCTCGAGCATAATTTTCGTTTTTTCAAAGTCTTAATGGCTTAGCCATTGTGGTTCCTTGGAGTCTCGATGTAGGCTTAGCTCAGCGTGCCCCAAGTCGTCACGGCCACAGGCAGTCGCCACACTTGTAGATCAGAGGGAGATTTGCTACCATGCGACTGGTTTGGTGCCAGGACGGCAATGGTTCCTGGTATTGGTTTACTCTCAGCTGGGTTTCCAGATGAAAACGCCGAACTACTTCTGAGTTTGGGAGGCCCTGCTGAGGGGATGAATCCCTTCGCTGTACATTGCACCCCGACACACAGGGACACCTACCAACCAAAATGACACAATGAACCGTTGGGAGGACATACAAATCAAGGGATAATACTATGTACTCTTTCAAGATTTTTATAATAAACACGAAGAACAAAAGCCCGTGCTGGTTTTTCACCAATATCGTTTCCTTTTCCTTCACATGAGATTGCAGTTTTGGAAGAATTTCGATTCTGTTCTAAACACTGCTGATGCACTAAATAATCCATTTTCACAGTGCCCATTCGTCTTCTGTTAAGCATTTCATTAGTAGATCTAGTTGCACTGGTGCATGAAATCCAACCACATAAAAAGTCGAAACTATTTTTAATTACAAACTGGGAAGAAAAAAGTCATGGCACGTCTCCGAAAAGTTTGTTCCCTTCTTGGAAACCTATAAAGAAGCTACAAAAAAGACTCCACAACGAAAACTCAACCAACCGTTTTCTGTGCCGAAGAGCAGGATAGAGTGCGACATACGTTCGTGGTACCAACCCCATCTCTCCATTATGACCAACGCGCTCGCAAGTCCACCAGTTCTAGATTCTATCGTCAATCCACGCATACAGAAGGATAATAGAAAACGTGAACTCCAACCTTTTCTTTGTCATCCTTACTAACAACTCGTAATTGGTCACCGGCTTTAAAAGACAGTTCATCCTCAAACTGAGCATCATAGTCATAGGCAGCGTATACCTTAATACTTATGTAGGCAGAAAATGAATAGAAAAACGAAGGAGGATGTTTTTTGACACAATACTAGGTCCATACATACCATCCCATTATTTATTGTCCCAGTAGAATTATGAGCAGTGGTTAGATAACGTAGACAACCATCATAACCCTCTTCATCTTCCTCACATTTCTCAACTGGAGTCTCCATATCAGATAATGTCGACGCCAATACGCACGCGCCACCTTCCACCAACTGACGTACCTGAAACGGCCACTGTTTAGCTACATTTGTGGTGAGGAAGAACTGAAGCATGAACTGACAGGTAAGTCAGTAAAGCATGCGAGGATCAGCAAAGACTTTAAGACTAGTGAGAACGACTATAAAAACGTGGTTAAAAAAATACAAAAATCGAGACAGGAAGTGCTGACCATGGGAAGGTTATTGCAACTCGCTGCACAATGCAAAGGTGTCCAACCATCCGAATCTTGAGCATTAACATCAGCATCTGCTTCGATGAGGAACTAAAAACGAGGGAATAAATAGGCCGAAGTACTTAAACGCAAACATTAAAATGAAACGCTTACTTTGACGATCTCATAATGACCTGCGCAGATGGCGTTGTGAAGAGCTGTGATGCCTTCATCGTTAGCAGCAGAAACATCCGACAACTTAAAATTAATTGAGAACATTGAACTCACAAATTTCCAAAAAATTTCCAATAATTGTCTAAACTTTGAAGGATATGTCGCAAGAAGTGAACATTGCTTATGGTTTACGATAATAAGCAACAAAACTTTACCTTAGCGGCACTGGATTTCACAAGATCCAATTCTCCCTCTAGAGCAGCGTCTAACAATAGCGCCAGCGGATCGAACTCAATGTGCCGTCGCTCTTTTTTCAGGCCAGCAGGGCGTAATATACCTTTCAATGCCCGTCGATTCACCTCCATCTTTAAAAAAATGAATAAGAACTTTTAAAATGAAATTCTGCACTACACTAAATCTCCAAACCAATGAGACTTCGATTACCTCAATGTCGTCGTCACTTTTCATAACAGATTCGTCATCGGTAGTAATGGTTCTATCTGACCCAGAAAAATTATCCTTCTCTCCTTCATGAACCTCTAGCTGAGAAGGGAATCGTTTAACTGAAAAACTCTAGAAACAGGGAACAAGTTAAATAATCCCAACCTTAGTTTCTTCACGAGGTGTTGGCAGCTCGGGAATGAAATGGTTGCGTCCTCTTCGTTGTTCTTCCAATATCCTTCGAATCGTGTCCGCTTCAGGCAATGTAACGCCTTCAGAGGCTGCCCATGATCTAACATGAAAACCGTGAAAAATACTCCCAAATCGCAATTATAAAAGTATTTTACGGACCTCCTTTTTGCAGCTTTCAAGGAGTCGTTTCTTATGGAAACCAAGTCGCTCTTTCCACTACGCAGCTTTGACTCATCAAGACTATCAGTGAACAAAGTTCCCTGAATAGAAGTAGATCAAAGAACAGTAGAAAAGGCAATTAACAAAATTAAGTAAAATAATAAATAATTCGAAATAAAAAAATTATAATAAAAGGATAATAGCAAATAAAACGTTAAAATTGTGATTTTGACTCCAGCCTCAGCTTAACTGGTTCCAATGCTGATTTGTGCTCTCTAGATAAATCCCGCTAACGGGTGACTGCTGATGTTGGCGTTAGGTAGAAGACTAGCTGAGAGAAACGAAGAGCAATCGCTTCAGTCGTTCAGTTTGTAAGACCCCAGTCCCCGGAAGTGGTAATCGTGGTTTGATCTGGCCCGGAGTCCAATTTCTGCGGATATCTAAGCATTATTGCGGCTGGATTCCAACAACTTTCTAGAAAATTTTACCCATAAAATCTCAAGGATTAAGAGATCCTTGTATGTACAGTCTGCAAACAATAATGGTAGCCATGAATTAAACAAATCCCGGACGTACCTGACATTGGAGAGCACCTCAAACTGAGCACTCAAATCTCGAAGAAATGCTGTTCTACGTGGGACGTTGGAAACGACTTAGAACTATTTAAAAAGCCCAAAACAGTAAAATTGGAGTAATAGAATAAAAGTTCGTTAAAGCAAATGCAAAGCAAAACCCCACAAGAAGGTACGATCCCCATCAAGTGTCCTGTGGAATAAAAACGAACGTAAAAAGAAAAAACTATTTAACAATAGTCTTAAGAACAATATACCTACAAAATTTTCTCAAAGAGACCTCACCATTTGGAATTCCTGATTGCAAGTAATTTCTTTTGGTCTCAAATGCCTCTCAGGTAATTGCGCAGCTGAAATCGAGTTCTGCTCCGAAGTAGGATGAGGATCTTTCGGTGGTGATGGACTAGTGTCGCCGCGACTGCTCGAACCCACTGAATCAGTGCCAGGTGGCGGAACATATGTGGAAGAAAGAGAGGCGATCTCAGTTGGTTCTTGCGGCGGTGATGGTAGCTGCTCTGACGAGTTCTCACTGCAAATTGCTAGGTAGATTCAATTTTGAAAAGTGATAACCTACAATCTCGTACACCGCAGGAAAGATCTCTGATTTCTCCGCAATGTCACAATAGTATATGAGAAACTAAATCTTGGAAGTGTATGAACTCCTAAATTCGTAAGCTTCTCAAGAACATAAACCAATTTCCAAAGCCAATGTGGACGGAGAGCTTGACATCCAGTGGACCAATTCTATGAACATTTTTATGCCTGCATTTAAACAAGACCTTCAGATTTGTAAGGCAAAATCTTAAATAGTGTGACGATTCCATTTTAGCTACCACATTCGCTTCCCACAACCACTGACAATTAACTACTGGATCAAAGGATTAGTGGGATTTTGAATGAGTAAACTAGAAATGGTACTTTACATGCTTGTAGAAGACTTGTCTCTATTGCTGCCAAAGTGTCTACAACTCTATAAATAATATTTCCGCTAAAAATTCATTTAAGGTCCAAATTATTAAAAAGACCCAAAATTGAGAAATTCACGCAAAGATGGGACAAACCCAAAAGTCTACGTTGCATTCATGAACACCATCACGTTATGCTGGACGAAAACTCGCCCTTTCGGCCTTATCGTTGTTGAAGATACGAACCTTGACGAAAAAGGAAAAAAATAAACGGTTTATGGCTCTTAGGAAACCAGATGTCGTCGTAGTAGATAAAATAATAAACCTTCACTTTACCGGCATAAATTCGAAGGTTCTAAAAGCTCTTTTCTATTACTAGTAAAGCATTTTATGAAGATGGGATTTTGTTTGAAGCTGGCAAAACATTTTCAGCCACGTATGAATCGTATTTAACTCTCATTATCCTGAAAGGAACTTTTTATAGAACAAAAACAAAACCACTTGCTCAACTAAGGTATTTTATTTTTTCGCTGACTTTTAAAAAGACCTAGACAGCTTCATATTTGCAACAGAGCCCCAGTTTCAGTGCTGAGCCCCTCATCACATCTCTCATTTCCAGAATGCTTTAAGCTGCCTTTAATGCTACAAAAGAAATACACGTACTCGTCTAATGATGACACATCAGCTTGTGCGTGCTGTTTTTCTTCTTTCATATCTGGTTCGGTATCACCATGTGCCGTTGGGATGCTAACTTGAAACGGCTCAACAGAGGCTCGAGGTCGTTCACTAATCGACACTATGCGCCCTGATTCAGGCACTCGAACAATCTATAAGTATAAAATAATTACTGTGATTTAAATAAACTGTTTCATGACCATTTTTCATTTGAAACTAGCCATTATTAAGGAATAAAGAAATAAGCAGAACCTGTTGCTGCATTTTTCGCTGCTCAGATAGGGCTGCCGCGGCAGCAGCCTTTCGCCTTCGATATAACTCGTCGATCTGCAAACGCAAACAAAAGTGAACGATTTCAGTACGAAGTTTCTAAACAAAACTTAACACTTTACACATGGTGAGTGTGAAGATAAAACTCACCATGTGGCAAACTTAGGAAAAGCGGTCGGTCAGAAAGACCAGGTGGCCTCGTCCAATTTCAGAGTTTGTGTTTTTTGATAGTTCACTGATGGGTGATTGTTGATAGCACGTATAGATTAAAAAAAGGCCGAGAGAAAAGGGGAATGAATGGCCCGCATAATGTAGCAGTGAACACGCTAGCCTCCGGAAAGGGTAGCAGCGGGTTCGATCCCCACCGCAGACACTTGCGGTCCGCAGTTTTGCAAACATTTCAGCATCATTGTGGTTATAGTTCACTTACAGTTCGACAATGAAATACGACCTAATCATCAAACAATGAAGACACGCAACTATTCGAAAGAGTGCTTCGCTAATTTTTAGCACTTAAAGCTAGATGCTTGACTTTTGCAAATTGCTGGTAAATTTTCAATAATTAAGATAACTGAAGAGTTGAAAACGTGATTAACTTATAGAAGAAACTTTCCTCTACCAGGCCAAGAAAAAAAGTGAGAATGGCCCTTTAAAATCTTTGGATTTCTAAAGTTGTTAAGAACCAAAACCTAAAGTAAAAGGAAATAAATTTTCAAAATTCCGGATGAAATCCCAACAGTCATAAACGTGAATAGCATATTTGCGAACATTAAAAATAAAAAAGCTCTCGGTGTTGACCAATCCCTGAGAGATGCGCCATGCATTCGACTTCATTAACGTTGGAGGTGATTGAATGCATATGTGGCCTATACAAATAACTCGTGGTAGCCTACCCATGTGTCGAGCTAGTGCTGCTATCTTCCCAGACAAATTCGGTACCAATTTGACGACCCCGGAGGGATGGAAGGCTTGGTGAGCCACGAGCGCGGGATCGATCCCATGTGTGTATCGCAGGGAGTCTCTGACCGCTGCGCCACACGCGCCTCTTTCCGAGCATTACTGTGTTCCAATGAATGAAACATTGTCTGTTCAGCTGCCTGAGGGCACGTTTTCGAAGCGCTTGTCTCCAGGAAAAAGATGGAAAAATATGTTTCATGGACTCCAAAAAATTAGAATTCCATCATTGTAGATTAAAATAACTTCTTTCGTACAGTCTCGATTACTAGATTCTAATACTCTATGTTGCAATTAATACAATTCACTTTGAGCCGACATATGTTGACTTAAAGTTGGAAGCGGCCGTTATTTGCCTATTGTGTAAGTGAAAACCAACTCACGTCGGTTAATACCACCGTCGTCTTTTTGGGGCTTTGTAGTTGAAAGGTGTTAACCCACAAAAACCAACTTTGACTTAAGTAAAGACAATTGGACCAACCTGCCACCTCAGTGCCTCCACTCTTCCAGCAGCGGTGCGGAGAATATTTTGCTGTTCATGTAATTCAGCACTAAGTTTTTTCAATTCAACCTCTTTCTCAACATTCCTCTTAGTCAGAACTCGCGTTTCACGCTCCAACTCGGATAACCTGAAGCCTCTGATTTGAACACAGTGCCATTCAAAGTATCTAAGCTCACGAAAAAAAGGACCCAAATGAATCATTCTTTACAGCTTCGTAAGAAATGCTTAGAAAGAACACCATCAAAACTACAATAATAAATACCTTCTCAGTTCTCCCTCCTCATCGGCAAGCTCTCTTCGAATCAGGTTTATCTTCTGAGTCGCATCAGTAGTGTTTTGGGTTCGCATTGCTTGTCGTCTATCGACTTCACGTCTTTAAAAACTACTATAAACGACAGCCCACAAAAGAATGAATGTGTGTGAAAAGCAGAAGGGCTAAGAATACCGATTAGCTTCGATCTGCTTCCTCTGCTGTTCTGCATAATTCACCATGTCTGTATAACTTCTGAAATATTACGACGAGAAAAATTACTTCTGCTTAAAGAAAGGGCAACACAACGATTATTCATCCGTTTCTTCAGTTTTTTATTAATTTGCACGCTTTCAATGACAGGTTATACTAGAGAAACAAAGGATTCAATGAATGATTACCACCGATAGTGTTCTCTTGAGGCTACCTTAGGTAGTGCTGCTCTATCGCAGTCACAACAGCATTGTGACGTTTCGCTTAGCATCATGTTATGACACTTCCGCCTTCATGCTCCCACTTTTTGTCATCATCATCATTCATTATATAAAGTTATGCTTTCCTACGTTATCATCTAACTGCTATTACCAGCTTAGACACCTGTGGTCCGGGGTTTCACAAACATCTCAGCATCGTTTTGGTTGTTTCACACGCAATACCCTGCCATGAAAAATTGTACTAGGTAGTGAATAAGAAGCTAACATTGAGGATAAAATACTTCGTTAGGACTGGAACAGAGGCAATACCCCATAAATAAATGTTGGAATGAACATATAACACATCGGTTC